CTAGTTAGTACTTTGTTGAATAAACTATATTGTTGTGTTGAACACTGTCTTCATTACACCCCACACATTTTATTGCACTACACACGTTCTGACACTCTACTGTTAAATTTAGACTGTTTCATAAGCTCAGTTCTGAATTCATAACACCATACAACATAAATTCTGTTATGAGAGCCCATGACCTACTCGTTAGATTCGCTACTGCGATGGGCGAAGGTCAACGACCTATGTGAAGGTGGATCTCAAAATGTTGGGGTCTCGGCGTTTGCTCGCGCCTAGTCAATTGTTCATACATGGTCCCAGAGTGAGGAATGAGCTGCTTACTACACTGGTGTGTTAGCTAAGCAAGTCCTTCCTCAGGCGACCCATCTAGACTTTCGAGTGAAGTCGACGGATGTAACATTAGATTATCATGACGGGAATATGGATCAAGACTAACAAAAATTTAGAATTCATCAAAAAATGCATATGCATTTTTTATTATTCATATTATTCACTTCTTCACAGAGAGACAAGGAGGGGGACATGATAACAACACACAAGATTATATAAGACAAATTGGTAAGATGAAAGTGAGGGTTGACCTCAGAGGCAGCAGGCGGGATGGAGGGGGGGGGGGACACCCTCACGTGAGAGTGATCACAGAGTGTGCACGTCTCACGCCCTCACACTCTTGCTCATGTTGCACCGTGTTCACGTAACCAACCTCAACACCACATGTGTTATGCCTGTAGACCAACTATGCCTGTAGACCAACTACGCCTGTAGACCAACTACGCCTGTAGACCAACTACGCCTGTAGACCAACTACGCCTGTAGACCAACTACGCCTGTAGACCAACTACGCCTGTAGACCAACTACGCCTGTAGACCAACTACGCCTGTAGACCAACAACGCCTGTAGACCAACTACGCCTGTAGACCAACTACGCCTGTAGACCAACTACGCCTGTAGACCAACTACGCCTGTAGACCAACTATGCCTGTAGACCAACTACGCCTGTAGACCAACTACGCCTGTAGACCAACTACGCCTGTAGACCAACTACGCCTGTAGACCAACTACGCCTGTAGACCAACTACGCCTGTAGACCAACTATGGCTGTAGACCAACTACGCCTGTAGACCAACTACGCCTGTAGACCAACTACGCCTGTAGACCAACTACGCCTGTAGACCAACAACGCCTGTAGACCAACTACGCCTGTAGACCAACTATGCCTGTAGACCAACTACGCCTGTAGACCAACTATGGCTGTAGACCAACTACGCCTGTAGACCAACTACGCCTGTAGACCAACTACGCCTGTAGACCAACTACGCTTGTAGACCAACTACGCCTGTAGACCAACTATGGCTGTAGACCAACCACGCCTGTAGACCAACTACGCCTGTAGACCAACTATGCCTGTATTAGACCAACTACGCCTGTAGACCAACTATGCCTGTAGACCAACTACGCCTGTAGACCAACTACGCCTGTAGACCAACTATGCCTGTAGACCAACTACGCCTGTAGACCAACTACGCCTGTAGACCAACTACGCCTGTAGACCAACTACGCTTGTAGACCAACTACGCCTGTAGACCAACTATGGCTGTAGACCAACTACGCCTGTAGACCAACTACGCCTGTAGACCAACTACGCCTGTAGACCAACTACGCCTGTAGACAAACTATGGCTGTAGACCAACTATGGCTGTAGACCAACTACGCCTGTAGACCAACTATGCCTGTAGACCAACTACGCCTGTAGACCAACTACGCCCGTAGACCAACCACGCCTGTAGACCAACTACGCCTGTAGACCAACTACGCCTGTAGACCAACCACGCCTGTAGACCAACTACGCCTGTAGACCAACTACGCCTGTAGACCAACTACGCCTGTAGATCAACTATGGCTGTAGACCAACTACACCTGTAGACCAACTACGCCTGTAGACCAACCACGCCTGTAGACCAACCACGCCTGTAGACCAACTACGCCTGTAGACCAACTACGCCTGTAGACCAACTATGGCTGTAGACCAACTACGCCTGTAGACCAACTACGCCTGTAGACCAACTATGCCTGTAGACCAACTATGGCTGTAGACCAACTACGCCTGTAGACCAACTACGCCTGTAGACCAACTACGCCTGTAGACCAACCACGCCTGTAGACCAACTACGCCTGTAGACCAACTACGCCTGTAGACCAACTATGGCTGTAGACCTACTATGCCTGTAGACCAACTACGCCTGTAGACCAACTACGCCTGTAGACCAACCACGCCTGTAGACCAACTACGCCTGTAGACCAACTACGCCTGTAGACCAACTACGCCTGTAGACCAACTATGGCTGTAGACCAACTATGCCTGTAGACCAACTACGCCTGTAGACCAACTACGCCTGTAGACCAACTATGGCTGTAGACCAACTACGCCTGTAGACCAACTATGGCTGTAGACCAACTATGCCTGTAGACCAACTATGGCTGTAGACCAACTATGGCTGTAGACCAACTATGCCTGTAGACCAACTATGGCTGTAGACCAACTATGCCTGTAGACCAACTACGCCTGTAGACCAACTACGCCTGTAGACCAACTATGCCCGTAGACCAACTATGCCCGTAGACCAACTATGGCTGTAGACCAACTATGCCTGTAGACCAACTACGCCTGTAGACCAACTATGGCTGTAGACCAACTACGCCTGTAAACCAACTACGCCTGTAGACCAACTACGCCTGTAGACCAACCACGCCTGTAGACCAACTACGCCTGTAGACCAACTACGCCTGTAGACCAACCACGCCTGTAGACCAACTACGCCTGTAGACCAACTACGCCTGTAGACCAACTACGCCTGTAGACCAACTACGCCTGTAGACCAACTATGGCTGTAGACCAACTATGCCTGTAGACCAACTACGCCTGTAGACCAACCACGCCTGTAGACCAACTGCGCCTGTAGACCAACTACTCCTGTAGACCAACTACGCCTGTAGACCAACTACGCCTGTAGACCAACTATGCCTGTAGACCAACTACGCCTGTAGACCAACTACGCCTGTAGACCAACTACGCCTGTAGACCAACTACGCCTGTAGACCAACTATGGCTGTAGACCAACTATGCCTGTAGACCAACTACGACTGTAGACCAACTATGGCTGTAGACCAACTATGCCTGTAGACCAACTATGCCTGTAGACCAACTATGGCTGTAGACCAACTATGCCTGTAGACCAACTACGCCTGTAGACCAACTATGCCTGTAGTAGACCAACTACGCCTGTAGACCAACTACGCCTGTAGACCAACTATGGCTGTAGACCAACTATGGCTGTAGACCAACTATGGCTGTAGACCAACTACGCCGTAAACCAACTATGGCTGTAGACCAACTATGGCTGTAGACCAACTATGGCTGTAGACCAACTATGGCTGTAGACCAACTACGCCGTAAACCAACTATGGCTGTAGACCAACTATGGCTGTAGACCAACTACGCCGTAAACCAACTATGGCTGTAGACCAACTATGGCTGTAGATCAACTACGCCTGTAGACCAACTACGCCTGTAGACCAACTACGCCTGTAGACCAACTACGCCTGTAGACCAACTACGCCTGTAGACCAACTACGCCTGTAGACCAACTACGCCTGTAGACCAACTACGCCTGTAGACCAACTACGCCTGTAGACCAACTACGCCTGTAGACCAACTACGCCTGTAGACCAACTATGGCTGTAGACCAACTATGCCTGTAGACCAACTACGCCTGTAGACCAACTACGCCTGTAGACCAACTACGCCTGTAGACCAACTACGCCTGTAGACCAACTACGCCTGTAGACCAACTACGCCTGTAGACCAACTACGCCTGTAGACCAACTACGCCTGTAGACCAACTACGCCTGTAGACCAACTACGCCTGTAGACCAACTACGCCTGTAGACCAACTACGCCTGTAGACCAACTACGCCTGTAGACCAACTACGCCTGTAGACCAACTATGGCGCCTGTAGACCAACTATGCCTGTAGACCAACTATGCCTGTAGACCAACTACCCTGTAGACCAACTACGCCTGTAGACCAACTACGCCTGTAGACCAACTACGCCCGTAGACCAACTATGCCCGTAGACCAACTATGGCTGTAGACCAACTATGCCTGTAGACCAACTACGCCTGTAGACCAACTATGGCTGTAGACCAACTACGCCTGTAGACCAACTACGCCTGTAGACCAACCACGCCTGTAGACCAACTACGCCTGTAGACCAACTACGCCTGTAGACCAACCACGCCTGTAGACCAACTACGCCTGTAGACCAACTACGCCTGTAGACCAACTACGCCTGTAGACCAACTACGCCTGTAGACCAACTACGCCTGTAGACCAACTACGCCTGTAGACCAACTACGCCTGTAGACCAACTACGCCTGTAGACCAACCACGCCTGTAGACCAACTACGCCTGTAGACCAACTATGGCTGTAGACCAACTATGCCTGTAGACCAACTACGCCTGTAGACCAACTACGCCTGTAGACCAACCACGCCTGTAGATCAACTGCGCCTGTAGACCAACTACGCCTGTAGACCAACTATGCCTGTAGACCAACTATGGCTGTAGACCAACTATGCCTGTAGACCAACTACGACTGTATGGCTGTAGACCAACTATGGCTGTAGACCAACTATAAACCAACTATGGCTGTAGAACCAACTATGCACATGTTTAGTCCTGCAGTAGTGTCATAAATGTTTTATAAGTTGGAGGAAGAGTGGCAGACCTTGCCAGGGAGCCCAACTATGACTCCACGCTCCACCCAACACCACACTCCACCCTCCACCCACCACCACACTCCACGTTCCACCCACCGCCACACTCCACGCTCCACCCACCACCACACTCCACGCTCCACCCACCGCCACACTCCACGCTCCACCCACCGCCACACTCCACGCTCCACCCACCACCACACTCCACGCTCCACCCACCGCCACACTCCACGCTCCACCCTCCGCCACACTCCACGCTCCACCCGCCGCCACACTCCACGCTCCACCCACCACCACACTCCACGCTCCACCCGCCGCCACACTCCACGCTCCACCCGCCGCCACACTCCACGCTCCACCCGCCGCCACACTCCACGCTCCACCCTCCGCCACACTCCACGCTCCACCCGCCGCCACACTCCACGCTCCACCCTCCGCCACACTCCACGCTCCACCCGCCGCCACACTCCACGCTCCACCCGCCGCCACACTCCATGCTCCACCCTCCACCACACACCATGCCGCCACACTCTACGCTCCACCCGCCGCCACACTCCACGCTCCACCCTCCGCCACACTCCACGCTCCACCCGCCGCCACACTCCACGCTCCACCCTCCACCCGCCGCCACACTCCATGCTCCACCCGCCGCCACACTCCACGCTCCACCCGCCGCCACACTCCACGCTCCACCCGCTGCCACACTCCACGCTCCACCCGCCACGCTCCACCCGCCGCCACACTCAACGCTCCACCCGCCGCCACACTCCACGCTCCACCCGCCGCCACACTCCACGCTCCACCCGCCGCCACACTCCACGCTCCACCCGCCGCCACACTCCACGCTCCACCCTCCACGCTCCACCCTCCGCCACACTCCACGCTCCACCCTCCGCCACACTCCACGCTCCACCCGCTGCCACACTCTACGCTCCACCCTCCGCCACACTCCACACTCCACGCTCCACCCTCCGCCACACTCCACGCTCCACCCGCTGCCACCCTTGACTTTTAAAGGCAAAATTCTTCCACACTCCAGGGAGTGTCTCCACCACCTGTTGCAGGTCGCCCGGCGCTCTCACAGGTCTGTAGTAACACACACACACACACACACATGCACACACACACACGCACACACACACACACACACGCAGTGTGTGAATGCATTAGGAAGAGATGTGGTGAAGGCTGACTCCATACACAGTTTCAAGTGTAGATATGATAGAGCCCGATAGGCTCAGGAATCTGTACACCTGTTGATTGACGGTTGAGAGGCGGGACCAAAGAGCCAGAGCTCAACCCCCGAAAACACAACTAGGTGAGTACAACTAGGTGAGTACACACACCGTGTGTGTGTGTGTGTGTGTGTGTGTGTGTGTGTGTGTGTGTGTGTGTGTGTGTGTGTGTGTGTGTGTGTGTGTGTGTGTGTGTGTGTATGTTTGCAGCCGTATTTGAGAAATGTCAGAAGGCAGAAAACAGGGTTATCCCTGCTCAGAAAGCAAAAAGCAAAGCAAAAGGGGAATCCATGGTTTAATCAGGCATGTAAGGAAGCAAGGCAACTAAGCACAAGGGCATGGAGAAACTACAGAAATAACAGGACACCAGAGAGCTGAGCGAGATTCCAGAGGTTCAGAAATGGGTACCTCAGTGTGAGGAGAGAAGCAGAGAGGCAGTTTGAAAATGACCTAACAAACAAAGCCAAGACCCAACCAAAACTGTTATATAGCCACATCAGGAGGAAAAACAACAGAGAAAGAACAGGCAATGAAACTGAAAACGGTAGAAGACGGGTACACTGATAATGACAAAGAGGTTTGTGAAGAAATCAACAAGAGATTCCAGGTCTTCACAATAGAACAAGGAGACGTCCCGGAGCTAAGAGGGGTGGCGATAAACCAAGTAGCCTTGGAAGATATTAAAATTACCAGAGATAAGGTTAGGAGCTATCTGCTCGATGTTGATGTGACTAAGACTGTTGGACCTGATGAAATCTCACCATGGATGCTAAAAGTGGGGGCAGAAGCACTTTGGTTGCCACTATCTATGGTGTATAAGAAGTGACTGGAAACTGGAGACCTACCTGAAAGTTGGAAGACAGCTATCGTAGTCACCATATACAAAAAGGAGGATAGGCAGGAAGCCCTAAACTACAGGCCAGTGTCCTTAACTTGTATACCATGCAAGATGATGTAGAAGATCGTGAGAAAAAGGCTGGTAGCACATCCGCTACTACCAGCATGGGTTCAGGGATGGCAAGTCGTGTCTCACAGGTTTAATATAATTCTATGACCAAGCAACAAGCATTAAGCAAGAAGAAAAGGATGAGCAGACTGCATTTTCTTGGACGGTCAGAAAGCGTTTGACACAGTTCCCCCTATATGAGACTTGCGTATGTTGAAGAAACAAGCTGGAATAAGTGATAGGGTGCTGAAATGGATGAGGGAGTACCTACACAACAGGAAGCAGAGAGAGTTACTGTGAGGGCTGAGACCTCAGACTAGCGTGATGTCACCAGCGGAATCCCGCAGGGTTCTGTACCGGGACCTATCTTGTTTCTGATATATGTGAATGATCTTCCAAAAGGTATAGACTCATTCCTCTCAATCTTTGCTGATGCAAAACTTATGAGAAGGACTAAGGCAGAGGAGGACAGCTGGAGACTACAGGATGACCTCCACAGCCTGAAGGAATGGTCCAACAAATGACCCAAAGCTCAGAGGTATGAGCTACGAGGAAAGATTGCTGGAACTAAACCTCACGACACTGAAAGACAGAAGAGTTGATCATGATCACTACCTGTACAATTCTCAGAGGAATTAACAGGGTAGATAAAGGTAAAGTGTTTAAAACGGGTTGTACACGAACAAGGGGACACAGGTGGAAACTGAGTACCCAAATGAACCACAGGGATGTTAGAAAAAACTTTTTCAGTATCAGAGTAGTTAACAGATGGAATGCATTAGACAGTGATGTGGTGGAGGCTGACTCCATACACAGTTTCAAATGTAGGTATGATAGAGCCCAATAGGCTCAGGAATCTGTACACCAGTTGATTGACAGTTCAGAGGCGGGACCAAAGAGCCAGAGTTCATCCCCCGCAAGCACAATTAGGTAAGTACACACAAGGGAAAATGAGGCAGGGAAGGCGGCTACAAGCTGGTGCACAGTGCGCGTGAGGGGCTGCGCTGTGCACCTGTAAAGATTATCAAGATTATCTCACATTTTCCAACTTGTGAGTGTTCCAAGTATAAGTGGTCAAACAAACAAAACTTAACATGCGGTCATGTTCACGAAAGTGAGAGCTCGATACAAGAGGCTTGACATAAGAGGGTCAATTGAATCTCTGCTTTTGTGTTAGAACATGTTAAAGAACTTTAGAACACTGTGTGTGAAGAACATTAGAACACTGTGTGTGAAGAACATTAGAACACTGTGTGTGAAGAACATTAGAACACTGTGTGTGAAGAACATTAGAACACTGTGTGTGAAGAGCATTAGAACACTGTGTGTGAAGAACATTAGAACACTGTGTGTGAAGAACATTAGAACACACATGTGTGAAGAACATTAGAACACTGTGTGTGAAGAACATTAGAACACTGTGTGTGAAGAACATTAGAACACTGTGTGTGAAGAACATTAGAACACTGTGTGTGAAGAACATTAGAACACTGTGTGTGAAGAACATTAGAACACTGTGTGTGAAGAACATTAGAACACTGTGTGTGAAGAACATTAGAACACTGTGTGTGAAGAGCATTAGAACACTGTGTGTGAAGAACATTAGAACACTGTGTGTGAAGAACATTAGAACACTGTGTGTGAAGAACATTAGAACACTGTGTGTGAAGAGCATTAGAACACTGTGTGTGAAGAACATTAGAACACTGTGTGTGAAGAACATTAGAACACTGTGTGTGAAGAACATTAGAACACTGTGTGTGAAGAACTTCAGAACATTCTCATTTCCATGAATGTTGGAGGGGCAAGCAAGCATCACATGGTTGTGAATGTCAAGTCTGGCCTCCAGGGAGAGCCATTATTTTGAGGCAGAGTGTGTACAGGAAAGGAGGGAGTGGGGTTCAGCCCAGGCAAGTGCCGAGGGGGGGAGGGGGGGGGGTTGCACAGCTCAGGCAAGTGCCGAGGAGATTGGCACAGCCCAGGCAAGTGCCGAGGTGGGGTGGCACAGCTCAGGCAAGTGCCGAGGGGGGGGGGGACACAGCTCAGGCAAGTGCCGAGGGGGGGGGTGACACAGCTCAGGCAAGTGCCGAGGGGGGTGGCACAGCTCAGGCAAGTGCCGAGGGGGGTGGCACAGCTCAGGCAAGTGCCGAGGGGGGTGGCACAGCTCAGGCAAGTGCCGAGGGGGGTGGCACAGCTCAGGCAAGTGCCGAGGGGGGGGGTGGCACAGCTCAGGCAAGTGCCGAGGGGGGGTGGCACAGCTCAGGCAAGTGCCGAGGGGGGAGGCACAGCTTAGGCAAGTGCCGAAGGGGGGTGGCACAGCTTAGGCAAGTGCCGAGGGGGGGGGGGTGGCACAGCTCAGGCAAGTGCCGAGGGGGGTGACACAGCTCAGGCAAGTGCCGAGGGGGGTGGCACAGCTCAGGCAAGTGCCGAGGGGGGGTGACACAGCTCAGGCAAGTGCCGAGGGGGGGGGGGTGACACAGCTCAGGCAAGTGCCGAGGGGGGTGACACAGCTCAGGCAAGTGCCGAGGGGGGTGGCACAGCTCAGGCAAGTGCCGAGGGGGGGGGTGGCACAGCTCAGGCAAGTGCCGAGGGGGGTGGCACAGCTCAGGCAAGTGCCGAGGGGGGGTGGCACAGCTCAGGCAAGTGCCGAGGGGGGGTGGCACAGCTCAGGCAAGTGCCGAGGGGGGTGGCACAGCTTAGGCAAGTGCCGAGGGGGGGTGGCACAGCTTAGGCAAGTGCCGAGGGGGGGGGGGTGGCACAGCTCAGGCAAGTGCCGAGGGGGGTGACACAGCTCAGGCAAGTGCCGAGGGAAGGGGGTGGCACAGCTCAGGCAAGTGCCGAGGGGGGGTGACACAGCTCAGGCAAGTGCCGAGGGGGGTGACACAGCTCAGGCAAGTGCCGAGGGGGGTGGCACAGCTCAGGCAAGTGCCGAGGGGGGTGGCACAGCTCAGGCAAGTGCCGAGGGGGGTGGCACAGCTCAGGCAAGTGCCGAGGGGGGGTGGCACAGCTCAGGCAAGTGCCGAGGGGGGGTGGCACAGCTCAGGCAAGTGCCGAGGGGGGGTGACACAGCTCAGGCAAGTGCCGAGGGGGGGGGGTGACACAGCTCAGGCAAGTGCCGAGGGGGTGACACAGCTCAGGCAAGTGCCGAGGGGGGTGGCACAGCTCAGGCAAGTGCCGAGGGGGGTGGCACAGCTCAGGCAAGTGCCGAGGGGGGTGGCACAGCTCAGGCAAGTGCCGAGGGGGGGGGGGTGGCACAGCTCAGGCAAGTGCCGAGGGGGGGGGGTGGCACAGCTCAGGCAAGTGCCGAGGGGGGGT